TCACTTATTAATCCTTTTGAAATATTTTGAGAGAAGATTCAAGAATGGGTGAATCTTTCATGCTTATGTCTTTTACTGAGGTTTTTCTTCGTGGCAAGCATGATAAGTGTCAAATGACGAAAAGAAAAAAACTTCTCTTACTGTTTTTGTGCTTACTCGAGATATACACCAAAAAAACATGAATTAGTATCCTTTTTCACAATTGTCAATAATTTTTGTTAGCGTTAGAATTTCAAGACACTAATCAATATTTTTTTTGTAACTTATTCTTTTCAGATTCTTGCTTTGATATACCTTCAGGCAACATCTGTTTTATATATACTTCAATGAGGAACAAACTGATTTGGTGATTTCACGTGATTTCGTGTGAGAGTATGTGGTGTGCGTATGGGTGTGGGTGTTGGTGTGGGTGTGAAATGTAGTTTAAGACGAGACCCATATCTCATCCACGCCCACACTCACACCCAACTTGAAGATTCATTCAATTGTATGGTTGATATCAGTTTACTTATTACATCAATTTTTCGTTTACATAAACACTTTTAGTAAGAATGAAGTCCTTCAGCAAAGATGTTCTCAATTCAATTTATTCATGAAAAAAATTAGAAATATTTCTTTCATCGAATTGAAATCACCACGTAATAGTATAATTTCATCCAGAAACTTAATTTTTTACCTTCAATATTGCATTTTAGAATTTTTTTTATAATAATTTATGTTCACATAAAATTCAAACACAAGTTAATAATTCAGAAGGAATTTAAGATATCGAAAGTTGAGTTTATATTAAATAACATTGTACAGACCATAGCGGTAATTTGATGAGTTTTTTAATTGAAAGTCTAGAAATGAACACTCTATGTATTACTTTGTCTTCCTTTCTATTTAGAAAATTTTGTAAAAGTCCTAATAAGAAATTGGATTAGATCTTGATTTGAAAGGAATGGAAAAGTGTTCAGGATCTTTGTAAAATCTTTTTCTACTCCTGGCAAAGGTTTATAAATTCCGTGACTACATATTTCGCACAGCATTTACGATTTTCTAAACATATTCGTGGTTTAAAATTCGTTAATAAACAATTGAGAGTCTTAACAAAAACCGTATTTTTAATCATGTTAGAATCTTGAAATTCGAGTGGTGAAACACATCTCGAGATAATTTCGTTCTCAATAGAAAAAACGACGAATCTGTGTAGGATACTTGTTGGGTCTGCCAAAGTCTAGATCAGTAACATCAGAGGATTTTGCTAGATAAGAGAGAAAACCTGCAGTAGAGTAAATTACGATAAATGTTGAAAAACCAATGAGTTTCATTAAAAACTGCTATAGCTCACTTTTGTTTTTTTTTTCAAAAATATTGTCTCATAATACATTTAGCTCATCATATCCTCTATCATATGACAAAACTCTCTTCATCGGACTTTATAAGCACACCTATCCACCAAGTGTTCTCTAAACACTATTTTTCAGCTTCACATTCACCCCCATTGAGATTGACTTTATAATCTCTCTGATGCCAATGGAATGATGTATAATATCTGCTAGTTTGTACTTACTTTTCCAGATCTGATTATTGAGTTATTGGTTCTTTATGTTTTGGTGAAGTTGTCAATATTCGATAGCTCAAAGTTTTTTTCTATCGCTCTAATTTGATCATTAAGTTTTAAATGAATACTAAATTTCTTATACAAAACTTGCGAAAAGGACTTCCAAAAAAAATCTGTACTCATTCACTCCATGCAGCACGATCCTGAAATCGTTATTACGCTTGTTGGATGACTATATCAACACAATCTTTCTGGCTAAGGTTCAGCAAAACAAATCTCCACGTAACTTTTCCATTGACTTTGAAAGTTATTCAAGAATGTGTAGAAATGCATTGATATCTAAAATACACACAACCACCCCATACCTTCATCCTTAAATGCATTACATATATTACTTGAAACTCGTCTTATAGAAAATGTAAAATAAAACAATAAGAAAAGATTCACCCATTCTTGAATCTTCTCTCAAAATATTTCAAAAGGATTAATAAGTGATATGGTTCATTATGATAAAGAGGTAGAAAGAGATTTTAATAAAAATAATAATAATACGACAAATGAAAAAATACAACAATATTAAAATGATGTTTTATCAATAACAATAACAACCTGTTGAAATCACCATGAATATTCATTAATACAAGCCATTATGATGAAAAAATAAAACTGGTTGGTTTATCATGTCTTTCAAATGAACTTGAACAACCAAAGGTTAGTAAAATCGTGATAACTTCATTACCATCAATCATTACATCAAATCTTGCAGCTAAAATTGATACACCTAAGTAAAAAATTCCTTTAAAACTTTTCTAATTAATCCTATTTGTATTTGTAAAGATGAACCACGAAAATTACCAAGTAGCAAATAATACTGAAAATATTCGTGAAAGCCTTAGTAATTCAACAAATGATAGTGAACATGCATCAAAAGTAAATTCAACATTACAAAATCTATTTACAGGAATATTATCTGAAGGTTCACATTCAAATGAATCTCAATCAACTTCACCTGCTTTTATTCCATTATTTAATACATTTGATATAACTAATAGTACAAATAATGGTTATCATCATTTTCTACTGATTGTTTTTTTATTTAAAATAATCTTGTAGAAGACTAATTTGTACTTAGTTTTATGAAGAATTCTTTTTTTTCATGTAGAGTAAGCAGGGGTAAATGTATAACGTAAATCAATGGTCTGTTGCAAAATGGCTATAACTTTTTAGTCTTCATTTTTTTAAAAATTTTCTTCTCAAGACACCTACTCGTCAGAGGCCCAAGCAGGTCTACTTTTTGAAGAACTGATCTGCGTGTGACAGGTCTACACATTTCTAGCCTGCTTATGCCTGTTATAAAATTTCTTCGGTCTGGCCTGCTTGCTGCCTAGGCCTGTCTACTTTTCTTTCGCTCCAATATCATGATAATAATAAAATATATTTAAGTGCTAATCTTTATAGGAAGTTTAGCAAGTCGATGAAATGACTTTAGAATGTGAACATAAAAAGATATAGTTAAAGTGCTTACTATACAGAAGTATTCTTTTCTTGGATTTCCATCATATGGCGTAAGATTAAGAGCAGGAAAAAAAGTTAACTTAAGGAAATTTATTGTAACAAAAAGTATTCATGTTTTACGATAAGAATATACTTCCACCGAGAAGTGATCGAATTTGAAGAGAAATGCTCAGCATGATTCTAGGTTGTTCATTACAATGATATGTGATTATTGTTGAGATGTTGAAAGTGAAAGGTTTTACCCGACATTTAATATACAATGAAAGGTGTAGGTATATAGAAAAATAAGAGAATAGAAAGATATTTCTTTTGACAAAAAAAAATAAATTTTTTGGTGTACAACATTTTTAAAAGAATTCAATAGACAATATGTCCCTCTTATTAATATATGCAAGAGAGAAACCGTATGCAACAATTAAAATACCTGCAGCAGAAAAATATGGTTCAGCATCAGCTGGATTAGCTAGGATTCAAAAACGAATGGTAGAAAATAATGAAAAATATTGAAAGGGGCTGTCCGTAATTGATAAGATCGAAAGATAATTCCCGAGGCATAACTTTGAACCTTTTCGGCTACAATTTCATGAATTTTGATGAGAAAAACTATAGTTTGTTTAAAAATAAATCATATTATCCTTGTCAAAGCGGCGTTTAGATATTTTTCATATAAATTATCATCTGTTCTAGGGTCATTGTGCAGTAATAGAAGTATTTCTCACTAATGAAACTATTTTCACATGTGATCCATTTTGTCGATTCCAAAACGTTTTAATATTCACATAAACCTAGTCGATGTTTAAATACTGATCTATCACCTGATGCTTATTTTTGTTCAAACTGTATTTTTTCTCATCGAAATCAACAAAATATTAGTCAAATACACCTGAAATATCATATCTCAGAAACAATAATCCTAGAATACTTTTCAGTAGTCAGTGTTTTTCTTCGGTGTTTTCAGAAAAATTTGTAGTACAAAAGGATCTGTATCAAAAGATATTAACACTTGTGTAATCGACTAGTATAACGATATTTAAACAGACTTGATTATTATCAAAGATCGGATCTGATATGTATAGGGATTATTGACTATGTCAAACGATAAGGCTTATTGTACGAACGATTATTTTCTATAGCATTCTCTAACAGTTTTTCATAGAAAAGAAAAGAAATCTTGCGAGAGTAATGGTTTCACCACTTATAATGACCCTTCCTTTCTGCTGATGACACATTAAGAATGTCAGTGAAGTTTGTTGTCTTTTTTTTTTGAATATTTACACTTAAATATTCATATAAGTTGTCATATTAAACAGTCATCATTGAAAATAAACTAACCACAATATATTTCTATAAATAATCCAATTTAAAAGATTAAAATGTTATATGAAAAGCAAATTAGACAGACCAGGCATAAAAATCGTAGTTTGTACCTGTCGTAGGCAGGCCATGTGGCCTGCTTGGGGCTCTTTTGCTGACTCTCCATTCTACTCAGGATTTCGATAGGAAAAATCTTTGAATATGAATAATTTCCACTGTAAATGTTAAGTAAAACGTCAACAACAATCAACAGAAGGGTTCCAAAGATTTTACTCTGTCTTTGTTTCGACTCTGGCAAGAGTCTGAGTATTCAAGAATTTACCAGGATTTGTTTTTTTCTAAAGTTCACTTGCATCTTCATATGAGTGAATGGGAAAACTCAGGCAAAAGTTTAGGAAGCTTCTTTTCTTTTAATCTTTCTAAGATTTATATTCAATATATTCTAACATCTAGGCTATGAAAACTGTTATGTTGTGGATTTTATTTTCGCATAAAATTTAAAAATTCATTCAATTGAAACGTTGTTATCACTATAGTTATTCGGCTAATCTTTCGTTTATACAAACAGTTTTAGTAAAAGAGAAGATCTTCAGTAAAGTTGTTTTTAAATCAATTTATTCATGGAAGAAAACAGAAATTTTGCTTTGAATGGAATTGAAATCAGTGTGTAATAGTAGAGTTCCATCAATCCAAGTCAATATATTACTTCCAATATTGCATCTTACGATTTTTTCTTGGGATAATTTATGTTCATATGAAGTTCAAGCTCAAGTTAGTAATTCAGCAGAAATTGAAGATATCGAAGGTTGAATTTATATTGAATAAAATAATGCAATTCAGTGTGGTAATTTGATCAATTTGTAAGCTGATGGTCTAAACACCAATATTTTATGTGTTCTTGTCGTTTGCTTTCTATTTGGAAAATTGGGTAAAGGTCTTGTCAAGAAATCGGATATCATTCTTACGAAAGACTAGTGAAACCCTGCGATTTGAAATTCGATAACTTATTTTCAATGAGAAATCATTGAAATCCTGACAAGATTCTAATCTGAAAGCAACGCAAAAGTGTTTCTTATATGATGACAACTAGAAAAAGACAATGCACAAGAATGGAGAAAATTTTCCAAAGAAAAATATGCAAAAGTGATACATGAAATACCTTATGAATTACAATTGATTACACAAAGCAGTGGAGAACATGTTCATTCGCATTGAGTTTTATTAGAATTTATGTTTTTGAAAAATATTTCTTCTGTAAGATTTGTTTCCATCGGATATTCATAAATATCATTCGTCAAGAAATAAAGATTTCACAAAAAGTACTAGTTTTAACTAGACAATTGGCACTTCGGAAAGTTAAAAAACATGGTTATATAGATATGTGATAAAAATTCCAGTCTTTTACATCAAGAAAAGTATGAAAAGTGTCGTTGACACATTTTATCCTCAGTTTTTATGGAACATTCTTTATACAGAGTTTTACGATTGGGTAGGTGATGATCTTTTAAGTTTTACACCGACAAGAAGACATATTGCAAGAACAAAGTTGACTATGTTATAGCGCAAATAAAGCTCTATCCAATTAGTTTATAACAAAATTTTTGTCCTGTAGCTTAGACCATCAACAAAAAGGATAAACACAATCCATTCTTTATCACTTGTTTTAAGTAAAACATTTAAAAAATAGCTTTTTTGGTCGTATAGGAACCGGATTGTCGGAGGGGTTCAAGCTTTGGCAAGAAGTCTATAAACGGATCTTTCGAGTTTTTCTTAATGAGATATAACGACGACTTATTTGTCTTTTATTTTTGAGAAAATTCAAAAGGAAATCAAAGCGTTACATTCAATTGATAATGGTATGTATTTTTGCTGTTCGCGATTACAATCATCCATGAAATGCCAAAAAAACCATGTACAAAAAATAGCATAAAAGGAGCATTCAAAGTTTCCATGCACCCAACCTTGACAAAGATGAAAGCATGTTGTTTAACTATGTGAAAACTTTAGTACTCGGTTATTTCCGGTGTCTGCTACATATATATTGAGCTGTGAGTCAAGTATCACCGCTGTAGGAGCACTCAATTGAATGGCGCTACTACCAGCTGCTCCATTTATACCAGCAATTGTTGTACCATTCGATTGACCAGCCAAGAAAAATTGTATGCGGTTATTCACTGTATCGGCCACATAGATGTTGCCCATAGAATCAAGTGTCAATCCCGTGGGATGGTCCAGCATTGTTGATGAAGAGCCAGCCGTTCCAGTCGTGCTACCAGCAATAAGTGTCCAATTACTAGCTCCTAATACCCAACGAACAATATTGTGGCCAAGATAGTTGGCAATCACAAGACTGTTTGATGATGAATCAAAGTAGATGCCAGAAGGAGAGATCAATTGGTTGCCACCTGTACCATATCCATTACCACCAGCCACTACAGTACCACTCGAGCCGCCTGACAGATACTTCATTACACGGTTATTTCCATTGTCTGATATGTAAAGAGTGCCTGTGCTGGAATCACGTGCCATATTGTATGGATAGTTAAGTTGATTGGCTGCGGTGCCCGCACCACCTGAGAAAACAATATACAATTATCATTATGAATTAGCTATGCTACAAAAAGACTTCGCGGCTATCACACCTCTGAAATTTGAATGAGCTATCAGAGATGAGACCGGTTCGGTTAAGGAATGCACTAATTCCTAAAATTGACTGGAATTGAAATAGGAACTGGTCGGAACTGGTTATTTCAGAATTACTAATTTTACACATTTTCAAATGAGTTAATAATTCGATCTGAACTTTTTCCACAATAAATTCCGATAAATTCCAACTTCAATTCTAAGTTAACTCCAGTAAATTCCAACTGCAGCTACAGTCAACTGTTATCGATTACAAATTCCATTCCAAAACAAAAAACTGAAATGGAATTGGTTTGAGTTAGAATTGATGCATTCCTTCTTTGAATAAAAAAAAATTCTAACCAATCTGATTTAAAGTTGATACTCTAATACAAAGTATAGTAAAAGTTATCATCACTATGAATACATACCATTACACTTCCGATTAAGGAAAATCCAAAGCTTTCTTTATTTGAAAGAGAGATACAGGAAGTTTTCTTAAGACCAAATTCATCAACACTAGAAAATGTAGCACGTTGACTAGAACACAAAACTAGACTTTTTTCTATACTGAAAACCAAATGTGGTATTTTTTTACGACATTAACTATAATCTTTTTTGTTATTATTTAACCCAAATCATCTAGATCTTTCACATTTGCGTTGCAATCATTTGTTTGACTTGTTGGAAAACAATCAAATTATGCATGCACCGCTTCAAAGCAGTTCATTAGTAGTTCTTCAAAAACTTTGATAGCTATGAAAATGAATATGCTACATAGAGGCGTCGGCTTAACATGAGTATTAAAAAAATGCTAACGCTTTTGTATGTATTCAAATTAAGAAAATATTTTAATGTTTTTTTGTATTAATGTCAAAAATATAATTTAATACTTTGGTATTAGTTTATTCTATTGCTTGTGAGCATCAGTACTAAAGTAATGATATTTTAATACTAATACTAATTCAAACTTAATACCAAAGTCTTAAATTATTTTTTAAACACTGATACAAAGCCATTAAGTTATTTTTCTTAATTCTAATATAACAGCATAAAAAGTAGCCTTCGTTAATGACATGCTATTACTAAGCTATCACTCCTAATACTACATTATTCTGTAGCTCATCTGCCCTAAAAATCGGTTGCTAGCTTTCTTTTTGTGAGAGTTCATCAGAGCAGGTGTCAATGAACTCATAATAAAAGATTTGAATGATCTGAAGTAAATAAAACTGAGTAAAATTCCAAAAATATCGATAAAAAAAATTAAAAACTATCTAGCCCCAATCGCTTTAAAACAGAAAAATGTTTTGGATTGAGCTTGATCAGTAGTGGAATTATATGCATTTACACAGTACTTATGACTTTTGGAACAGTCTGAACATTTGTTAGCTTAATATAAATTTTGATTCGATACGATTCGGTTCGGCCCCAAAAAAACACGAACCGATCCCATCTTGGTGAATTATGTAACAACAACATATTTGATGAAAAAACACAAACATATTTTTCATGAGCCACACAAAGTAGAAATTCAAGATAGTTGCAGTCGTAATTCTATTTTTTTGTTGTTGAAAAACTATTGGCCATGATTTGAAAAAAGACCACGTCGATGACAATCTTCTCCCATCGATAGTTGTGACTTATTGTCTTTATGATTTTCTCTAAAGTTTGGGCTAATCTACAATGAGATGATTATCTTTCGGGTGTAATAATCAACATTGCTACTATCAATTAGAAATTAGAATGCAACACTGGGGAAAGTTTACGCTTCATCGAAGTCCAATTGCCGAACGAAGTATGTATTTGGCATTAGTGGGTGAAGCTGCGCCCAACGGCATGTCTCTGATATCTATTTGGTGACTACCACTTTTGCCACTACATTATTTCAGCGGTCTTTCGATCATGCCAGATGCATGATGAAAAAATGTAAACGATCACATAGAGTTTACAGGTATTTCATTGAGACAGCTTTGCTTGCTGATGCCAAATATATATTCTGTTCGAGATTTGACTCCGTTAAAGCGTCGAAAAAAATCCTGCAAATGCTGCTTTTGGCGTTTCCTCTATTTTAGATCGGCTTTTGCAATGTGAAGTGCAGAAAACTGCATCTTGCTATCTTCATCCACGGCAAAAATATTGGTCGTAGTTCAGTTTATATTGCTCATAACTAATTGCAGTCCTTATGTCATTTTCTGAAAGAAAGAATTATTTTAGAGAAAATATCGAAATGAGCTTGTCTGTCCATTTGTTCAAACCAATCAGAAAACATTAATTTGAAAAGTATTATCAGATGTGCAGAAGAGTTTCTGAAAAATAATAGTAGAAAACATGATAAGTTCGAAAGACGTCATACAACATTTTGGACTAATCAAAGAACATTTTTCTTTTTAAACAAAATCGATGAAGGACACTGTGTAGCGGTTAATAATGCTAATTTATGGTCATCTGAATGAAGTTCAACCAAAGATATCAGACGTGAAGACTTTGGGTTCTAACTCTTTTTTTCATAGCCGTTACTCAACTCAACTTAGAACAATTTTATCAAGAAAGCGAAGAACTTGTATTTTAAGCTTATATAGCACTGTAGATAGAGCATTATTGAATATATGCTGTACTGTGGTAAAATTAGTCCTTTACAAAAGAAAATTGAAAGCATATGACACGGGTGGAACTAGTCGGGTTTGACGCTCTAAACGAGTGCCGATAATCTGTTTGAAGATAAGTTTGAACTTTATGTAAAGGAGAAAAAGAAAGAAATATTTATTGAAAGTTTTGAAATACATATGAGAGACTTTCAGAAACTTCATATGAGAAACAAAACTTTTCAGATTGTCCCACTTACACAGTAGACACTATTTCGAACACCAAATCACGCAGAACATTGGAAATGCTTCCATGAAATGTAGTTCCGAATGTCTTTCTCACAGTACGATGGCATCTTTCACAAAAGAGTCAACGAATCTGTTGATGAGCGATACATAATATGTCGAGTCGGGAAAATTAATTTGCGTTAAAAAATGGGCTAGTTTATTACAATCGGAATCATAATTAAAGTAATACAGATTTTTTTTTTCAATTAGAGAACGATTTTGAGAGAGGCAAAATAGTCTCTGTCACCAATATGCGGTTAGGAATTTTCTGTACAACCGAATTCGAAAAAACTTCAACATCAATACACACGTATTCAAACTATTGTTGGGTAATACATATCTCTTACCGATGCCTGCAACGGTCGTACCATTCGATGCTCCACTAGCCCAAAGTTGAACTCGATTATTTTCTTTATCTACTACATAGACATTGTTACTGGAATCGATAGCTATATCAGTAGGAGCATGCAGGAAATCCGAAGTAGAACCTGATACTGCACTTGCTTGACCAGCCACTGTTGTACTGTTCGACATTCCGATTATGTATTTCTGAACCCGGTTTTGGGAACTCTCGACAACATAGAGTGCACCGGATGAATCCAATGCCAGAGCACTTGGATTGATAACAGTGGCTACAGTCGTGCCCGTCGAGTTCCAAACATACGACAGGACTGTTGCTGCAATGAAAATAATCATGATTAACTGATGTAGATCCTTATGCAAGATTTTTTTACAAACAAGATCGAGGTCTACGACCTTCACTCTTCGAAAGGCTATACGCGAGAACGCACAATCGTAGAAACGCAAGTTAATCTAAAATGTATCTCTATGAGTTTTCAGCAAACGTGCTTTTCAGTTCATTCCGACTTTCGAAGATGCCATCCTAATGTTAAATTTGAAACATTTACTTTCAATATGATATCCGCTTGTCAAAAAATTACGTAAGAGACGAGATCCACTCAGGATCTAATTCTACGTTGGGCTGCGGAAATAAAATAAGCTACTTTTATCAGACTAGTTTCTTCTGCATCAGATCGATCAAAATCGAATGTCGAAGCTGGTGACTTTGTATCGTTGATTTCTTGCAAAGATTGTAATGTATATGGCAGCAAGGATGGTACCTTCCATATTTAGTGAATATCTCATGCAACTGTGATCATGTAACGTCTATGTTTAAACTCGAAAGGTATTTCGTTCAATACTCTACAAAGTGTGCATCAAACGTTTTCTTCTACAGAACCAGGCAGAAATATGAAAAAAAGAATGCTTGACACCAGAGATCGAAACCGAATCGAATTGACGAATACTCTCTGAAAAACTGGCACTACAAGAAACCGAAATAGGCTTCATAGATCTACAAACCTTTCTTTTTGGTTTTTTAGTCTGGCGTTGTAAAGAATCTTAGTCTGACTTAATACATATAGTGTTCCAAAACTAAGTTTGACTGCCTATTTATCTCTTCCATATGTATCGATCACACGACCATTACTTTTCTTGCGATATGAGCCAGTCCACGTATGCTACGCCAGGTGTACATAGAACGTGCTCAGTCGAGAGTATCAGATTTTTTTTCAATTTGCAGCTAGGTGAATAATGGTCTCCTTTTGACGGATTTTCACATCTTTAGCGATATCCAACCATCCTCATCCAAACTCAAATTCGTATCAATAATTTTTAGACTAACTGAATACGCATTCACAAATAATATCAGCTCAATCCGTCAAACCGTTCTTGACATATTCAGGCCACAATATCTTCCATTTCTGAGTCCTGTATTTTCAGGGTTACAGTAAACGAAATTCGTAAAAACTCGATTCTTGAATATTGTTTAGAACGGCTTGCGTCAAAATTCGTTAAATACTTGCCTCTATTATATATCTTAAATTGAACTAGAACAGGAACTCTCGATTGAGCTCGTTCTTTGTGTACTGGTTCATGCAGGATGATGCAGGAGTCATCTAGTAGTCTTTGATTACGAATCACGTTGGATAGGAATAAGATAGAGAGCTGTAAATTTTACTGCTCGAAAGAGACTGTGTCATTGTATAGTTTCACGTATTATTCAACAATGCTTGTCGATGGCAAGATGAATAGTCAGTGATAGGATACTTTTGTATCTAAATATCAAATTAGTATTGAATATCTTTATGGTGAAAAACCGTACCGTTTCACACTCTACAAATCTATATAGTTTTAATAAAATCTAATCTGTCTTAAGGCTCACTTTTATTGAGACATTGTAAGAAACTCACAATTTTCGAAGCACTAGAATAGTCAATGTGAACCATTTTCCTATTGAACTTTGAGCTAATTACGAATTTAGAGGAAATGAATATCACATTCACAATCAGCATAAAAAAATACGTATTACTAGATACATTCCAGCAAAAATAATTTTTATCAAAAAATACCCTCGGGAGGGGGCGGAGCACAGCCCAAATTTTATAAAAGAACTGCTGAGGAGGACCGCATCAAATTTTTCGATACAAATTATTTTTCCTGGAATGTATTTGATAATGCGTACTTTTTTATGCTGATACTCGAATGATATCCATTTTCTCTAAATTTGTAATTAACTCAAGGTTCTATAGGAAAATGGTCCACATTGACTATTCTAGTGGTTCGAAAATGGTGAGTTTCTTACAATACCTCAATAAAAGTAAGCCTTAGGACAGAATAGATTTTTTTAAAAACACTATAGATTTGTAGAGCACGAAACGGCGCGTCTTTTCGTCATAAAGATATTCAATACTAATTTCATATTTAAATACAAAAGTATCTTGGAAAAGTATTGAAATTCGTCTATATGATATGAAAGTTATGTCTATTGTGCCTGTCTGACTCTACATAAACTAACCAATAAACATTATTAATATGTTGTTTTCCAGAGCATGAAAAACTACATCAATCTACGCTATTAGTTTTTATATGAAGTTTATAATAGAAAAGATTGTCGCTTACATAGTTATCATCGAAAACACCCAAAAGTGATAAAAGCCCCCCCCCCCCCCATCCCGAGACTATTTGGGTCTCAAAACGTTTTCTTGCATTCAAAAAAATAAATAAATACACAGAAATGTGCAGAATTCCATGCTCAATCTCTCTAGCCTGTTGAAATTGTAGTTTACGGAGACGGCAGATTTACGATCTTATCCAACGGTATCTTTTAACTATAATGGGCGTTGATTTCTTATATACATTTGTCGGCTCTTACAGGGTAGACTTCACTGTGCCTGATTCAGCGACAGCGGGGACTGGGAGAAGGAAACAGAGACCGTCACGGGACTGAGTTGCCCTGATAAAAAATTTCTTAAAATCTAATTCTAATCGATGTTTTTGATGAAAAATTTATTACATTGACACTATTTTGATCCAATTTTAGTCTAAGTATTTGATGTTCAATCCATTTTGGTCGAGTGAAATTGATTAAAACAAAAAGCGATTTTTTATTTATTACATCTTATCAACAGCTTAAAATTGACTAGAACTCAAGTCAAATTTGTTGTCTGGTGCATATCTCAAGAATTATCCGTACTATATGACTTCCTTGTTCAAGAAGAACAAGAAGTTTTACTAAGAAAAAGAAATCAAAAGTTGGCTTTCAACCTGAAGACCCGACTTGAATTGGCTTAATTAAAAATAGTCGATTTTAATTTAACACATTTCTCCCAAGAATAGAAAGTCATCCTATATTAGAAGGTCACTCACAAGAAAAATCTCATAATACGTAATAGAAGGCTATGAGTTTTCCGAAATGTTTTTTGGAAACTGCGAATTTGCAAGGTTTAGCATCTAAAAACCTTTTTTTTTGTAAGTTCAATCACTTTTTTTTTCTAGCAAGTGTTTTCTAAATAATAGTTCTGGTACTGCGACACTTGATCGCTAAAAGCACATATATGAATATCAGAAAAATTCTTCAAAAATCCTTCATTTTTTAGGTAAATGGTAGCAGAAAACTAGCTTGTGGTACAAGATCACTTTTGGAAAAGAGATGTGAATTTCTGTAATAGAAGGCTATTGACTTTTTATTCCATGGAACTATGAATGTTACTTTATCTTTATTTTTTGAATAATGAAGATTTATTTCTCAAATATAAAGAATTTCTTTATTTTTGTTTTGTCAAGATAAAGATTTTATTTATATCTATTCTTTATTATAAAGAGAAATAAAAACAAAGTAACATCCCTATGTGGGACAGAAGGGTAGGGGAGTTCGATTTATCGGCATATTGATTTACACGCATTAGTGTCAATCAGTATCGCACTTCGAAGTATGGCATGCGTCAAAAGTTGGTCTAGTATTACACTTATCATTGTAGGGGAATGAGAAGTTCACAAAAAACACTGGAGATTTCAAATTTAAAAATTCAGAAAAATGCGCTTCACTCGCATCATGATTAAAGACGGTTAGAAATTGAATAATCTTTTTAGAATAGAAACTCTTTAATCAAGTTTCAAATATGAAAAAGTTTATTAAAATTAGATTTATCTTTCAGTGTTAACACGGATGCGGTCTGTGGAAGAAAATGCAGGATTGACCTAAAATTCTCTGCTTGAATTTAACTGGAGAAAAACCAGAGACTTGAGCCATTTTGAATAAAATTTTCAATGTTCATATTGTCGACCTATAATTCAATTGCAGAGAACTTTTAACTATGTCGCTACAACGAGATCACAGTTCAAAGTACTCAAAAGCATCTTCATCGGCGTTGTTTTTTGTTTTGTAATTTCTGAATAAGATTCCAATTATGATTAGAAATAAATGTCTTTGAAAGTTGGTACTTTTATGCATGCCGAATATTTTATGCACATGCTTCCGTTTTTCTTTCCATAGACAACTTTTTGAATCTAATCTCAACTATCCATGATTGAAACAGCAGTAGATATTTACGAAATACAAAAACTTCTATTCTCGTTACGACACTCGTTATACACTTTGTGAGATCAAGAAATATCTTGATCTATTTTTTCGTTCGGCTTCTTTTTTCAGCATTCAGGCACTAATGACTCGAACATAACACAGAAAAGCTGACGAAATACGTATACGATATTTTGTGTAAGGCGGAAAATGTATTCTTAGCTCATCAGCTAATGCTCTAGTAGAAGACAGAGTCATTTTTTCTGCTCCGAGAAAGATGCACTCATATATAGAAAGACAACACTTTCATTCTAACTTCATTGTTGGCCAAGTCAATGGACGATGGACCCGCTTTGGGCAAAGACAATGTTATTTTCTAAGGCTTCTTAAGCTATTAAGCTTCAATTATTATTTGAATGACAAGAAAAACAATGAGTAAAAGAATAACAATCGAGAGAAGACGCTCGCTTGATACAAAAAGTCACTTGACTAGTACGCCATATAAAAGAAATGAAATGATGAAAGCTCTCATATGATTCAATAAAATCCTTTACCATCCCTTTTCGGCTGTTTCTCGACTTTTTGGTTACTTGTTAATCGTATTAGTTCTAAAATGGAGTACTTGCAAGTGTTGATGTTAAACGATCTCGATGTATTGAAGTATTTTTCTTGGTGAACGAAAAAGGGAAAAAAATCAAAATATGAGAAGACTCTACTGCTGCCTCTATTAATTCCATGCATTGATTTGGGCTCGAATGTGTGAAAATAAGGAATCGCAAGCTCACCAGTTGTTGTCATTGTCGTCGCGGTTGTCGTTTTCGACATGGCAAGTAAGAGA